ATTCTATTTAAAACTATCGCAACATCTTCAGGATGTAGTTTCTTTGAAAGGATTTCAATGTTACAAGAGTCTGCACACGAAATAAATGTGTTTTTGGCAATGATTTTAATTTTAAATGGTAGTGGCAGGGGGAGGGCAGAGCTGAAGGGTGAGTCAATTTGATTCACCTGGCTCAAACCCTCCTTCGCGTGCCTTTCAGAACTATTCCATTTTTATCATGCCGTTTTCTTTTGCCTACCATCCTATCCACACAGCTTGTTCCTCCATCTCTATCCTTCTTATGCCCACTTCAGACCTTCCTTTCTTTAGGTCTCGTTTACACATCCTCACTGCTAATTATTTAGTTAAGTCTCCTTCTCAGCTTTTTTGTATGCACACGCTTTGATCCTTCTAGTGCCTTTTTAATGCCTTCCTAGTATCTCTTTAACATCTCTTCATTTCTCCATGTTCGCGAATTTAAGACGAAGTAATAAAAAGTTAGCGTCGAATAACACTTTCCTTAGAGAGACGTGGTCAAGGACAAGCTAATTAAGCGCAGCAGTATATTTTCGTTACGCTGCAAAAATTTTATTTAGAAAACTTATTTATTATAAATTATAAATTTTCATTTCAACGAATAAGGGATGATCAGCCCTTTTAATTGCAGTAAGTCTATTGCAGTGTTCTAACAAAATTTTAAAGAAGGTTTTTGGAAGACCCATAACAAAAGGTTTCTGGGAATATTTGACAAACATTTCTAAAATTGCAAAAAGGCTTATAGGAGCTGACGAAGACCTTTTTATAACAATAACTGGAAGCCAATAAAATATTAGTTATTTATTATACAAGATGATGAAGGGATGTTTTATCGAGTGAAAGATGTTAATTGAATTAATTAATTTTCACGAAACGGTTAGTTTCCCTTTATCATCGAGTATAATACAAAACTTTATTTCATAACATAATATAACACTTTAGTCTAGGCGATAAAGACATCTAACTGGACATTTTGAGGTGGAAAAGAAAAAAATGATGGAATAAGTTCAGGTAGGTGTGAGAAACAACATATTAAAAATCCCACCCCCCAGACCCTGTGCTAAAGGCTCCAGCCACCCCACCATCCACCAAAAACCGTGTTTTCGCCCTTTTTGGCTGATATCTCGCGATCTATGAGGTCTATATGAAATATTTTTAGCTGACAATATTTCTCGGGAAATTTTATGCAAGGTAGATACTCAGAAGTTAGCCTAGGTGTATCTCTTAGCCTAGGAAATTCATAAAAGAGGCGAAAATCATCAATTTTCGTGGCTTTTTGCAAATATATCGCGACCTTTAGGGCTAGATGAAATATTTTTAGCTGAAAATGCTCCTCGTGCAATTTCATACGAGATAGGTAACTGAAGAGTTGGCGTAAAGTCACCTTTCACCTTCAACTTTCATGTGTGAGGAAATATTCATTGTAAAACAAAGTATTTCTATGTACCACAGTATTTTCATATCAAAATATTCACACATTCATTTATACCTCAACGTAATCATTATCCTCTGCAGATTCCACTTCTTCAGGCTCTTCGACGTCCTCTAGTGCTAGTGGGTCGTCTGAAATTACCGACTCGTAGTTCTCCTCGCCTTCCGCCTTTTTTTGAGCCCCAAAAAAAAATTGCCTCAGATCGACCCGGAAAAAAAATTTTCTTATAGAATGTGACCTGTAGAATCCATAATTTCAAACAGTCCCAAGATTGGGTTACTAGTTCAAAAGTTACAGCCCTTTGAATTTTTTTTCGAAATTGGTTTCTAGTCTATAACTTTTGATTGAGAAGTCTGATCGAAAAAGTACGAATTGATTTGGATTCTTCGCACCCAAATTAATAAGAAAAAGTGTTTTCCCGAGAAATTTTGGTGTAGTCGATTTTTGGTAAAAAAGGAAGGTTATACACTGCCTTTTTTTGAGGCCCGAAAAAAAAATTGGCTCAGATCGACCCGGGAAAAAAATTTTCTTATAGAATGTGGCCTGTAGAATCCATAATTTCAAACAGTTCCAAGATTGGGCTACTAGTTCAAAAGTTACAGCCCTTTGAATTTTTTTTTCAAATTGGTTTCTAGTCTATAACTTTTGATTGAGAAGTCTGATCGAAAAAGTACGAATTGATTTGGATTCTACGCACCAAAATTAAAAAGAAAAAGTGTTTTTCCGAGAAATTTTGGTGTAGTCGATTTTTGGTAAAAAAGGAAGGTTATACACTGCCTTTTTTTGAGCCCCGAAAAAAAAATTGTCTCAGATCGACCCGGAAAAAATTTTTTCTTATAGAATGTGGCCTGTAGAATCCATAATTTCAAACAGTTCCAAGATTGGGCTACTAGTTCAAAAGTTACAGCCCTTTGAATTTTTTTTCAAAATTGGTTTCTAGTCTATAACTTTTGATTGAGAAGTCTGATCGAAAAAGTACGAATTGATTTGGATTCTACGCACCCAAATTAATAAGAAAAAGTGTTTTCCCGAGAAATTTTGGTGTAGTCGATTTCTGGTAAAAAAGGAAGGTTATACATTGCCTTTTTTTGAGCCCCGAAAAAAAAATTGTATCAGATCGACCCGGAAAAAAAATTTTCTTATAGAATGTGGCCTGTAGAATCAATAATTTCAAACAGTTCCAAGATTGTGCTACCAGTTCAAAAGTTACAGCCCTTTGAATTTTTTTTCAAATTGGTTTCTAGTCTATAACTTTTGATTAAGAAGTCTTATCGAAAAAGTACGAATTGATTTGGATAAGTTTAAGGGTAATGATTACGTTGAGGTATAAATGAATGTGTGGATATTTTAATATGAAAATACTGTTTTTACGTGAATAAATGGTACATAGAAATACTTTGTTTTACAATGAATATTTCCTCACACATGAAAGTTGAAGGTGAAAGGTGACTTTACGCCAACTCTTCAGTTACCTATCTCGTATGAAATTGCACGAAGAGCATTTTCAGCTAAACATATTTCATCTAGCCCTAAAGGTCGCGATATATTTGCAAAAAGCCACGAAAATTGATGATTTTCGCCGCTTTTATGAATTTCCTAGGCTAAGAGGTACACCTAGGCTAACTTCTGAGTGTCTACCTTGTATGAAATTTCCCGAGAAATATTTTCAGCTAAAAATATTTCATATAGACCTCATAGATCGCGAGATATCAGCCAAAAAGGGCGAAAACACGGTTTTTGGGGGATGGTGGGGTGGCTGGAGCCATTAGCACAGGGTCTAGAGGGTGGGATTTTTAATATGTTGTTTTTGACACCTAACTGAACATATTCCACCATTTTTTTCTTTTCCACCTCAAAATGCCCACTTTGCCAATTTTACAGTCTCTATCGCCTAGACTACTTCTGAAAATTCTGTAGGTATTTTGAAACAGCCGTACGCGGTCAGGCAACAAACTAAGTAATTAATTGAACGACACAGCCATATCTTTTTCTATTTGCGGTTTTCAGGGCTTTTTTAAGAGCAAGGGTAAGAAAAATCTATATAGCCTGAAGCGTTGCAGGATCCGCTAAACCGCTTTGTTTTTTTTTTAATTTCGGCCTAACTACAGAAACGACCTAGAGATCGTTAGAAGGTTCCGTGACCCAGTGTCCGTAGCTCTGTAAAACAATTTGAAGTCTCCGAAAGCGACCTCTACTGGTTTTTGTGGTATCAAGCGCGTTACAGAGATTCCTAACGTCGTTGATAGGAAAGTAGATCTGGGTAATGACTCACATTGATCGCAAGAGGGTTTGGAAAGTTCTGGAATGAACTTAAAAAATCCCTTTTGGCGATCAGGTGTAGGTAGATTTCTTTAACCGCATGAACATATAGAAGTGCCCGCCATTTGGTTGTTCCAATATGGGGGATTTGGCTGAGATATTTATGAGTTACACCAACCCTTAAAGTTTGGTCGAATATACTTTCCAATATTATCTATTTGTTTTTCAGAAAGGTCAAAGGTTTCCAAAGCTGTTAAAATTCAGAGCATTTTGGGTTCCTGTGAGAGCTTTTTAGTGTTATAAGTCTTCTGCTGTAGGCTTATGTAGCTCTGAAAAGAGCACAGCGGTCTACAAAAAGGGCACAGGGAATCTTTAGGAAATGCGTAAGGGAATCTGAAACGTCTTTGGAAAGCCTTGTAAACGTCAAGTTGTTAAAACACTTTCCAAAAAAATATTTCAAATATTTGAAATCGTCTCAAAACAGTCAAAAGCTCTCTTCTAGGCCCTTTTCAGCTTTTTAGACCCATTTCCGGGCAACTTTAGCAACTGTCAGAGCTCGTTATGCTTTTCAGAATATTTTTTTTCCGTAAGGTTAAGGCTAAGAATTCAAAGCATTGATGGAGAGTCATCTAATTGATAAAAGACTACTTCTCGTAGGTCACTGGCCACTGTTCATTTTATCTGGATTGTTCTAGAAGAGCTCCAACTGTTATTACTCCAAGAGGGATAAACGACTATGCATCGTGACTCACTCATCGAACTTTCGCGAATGCTCGGATCCATTATGTTTATGAATACACTAAAATAATAATGGGGCGTGGAAAAAATTAATGATACGTTCTCAATTTGCTAAAACATATGTCCGAATCGATTTGTACCTTCATTTATTAAAGTGGCGAACGATATCCGTATTAATTAATTTGCGAAACCAATCGTGCGTTGAGCATCGTTGGGAAAGCAAGTTCAAGTTCGCAATTCAGCATAAATCCCACTATTAAAAATTACACAATCAATAATAGCGAGTACAAACAGAAAGTTTGTCCCCATTGTCTGGCAAATTACACGCTTCTTAATTAGAATGTCGACGGACGATTACCTGTCAAATTGAATCAACAAAAAAGGCCTCATTAGGCGCATTATCGAAATTGGGCGGTGCCGAACGTCAAGTTTTCTAAGATTTCTAATTACCACATACGTTTTCGTGACCGCTCCAAATTTGCACCTCACCTCGTTATGCATTATTACCTCCACGACTCCCCTTTAAGCTAGTACTAACCGTGTATTTTTGTTCTAGATGAATTTGCGACATTTCGAAACGTGTGGATGATTTGCAATGGTAAGTGAGATCGCCGTTCCCGCCATTAATCATTTCATTTTGCATTCAATACCAATCAATTATGCATAAACATCTTTTGTTCTTTAAAGTGATGTATTCATACGCCGACAAAAAGCGATTGATTTGAATAATCGACTGCGTAATTGGCGCCTTTGTCAGTACGAAATTGGACAACTCAATTTCAGGTCTTTTCAGTACAATTATGTCCTGCTTTTCTGGATGTATTGTTTAAACTTTTTAGAATTTTTGTTAATACCAGTGTAGTTATTGTTTCAAGTTCGAGGGTTCAAGCTTTCCCATTGTCGAATTAATAATACAATCGAATTTAATGGGAAGCTTTAGGCTCGCCGAGTTGTTCAGAAGTGAAAAATTGAGTGTGGAGGTTGAGATCGGAAAACCCTTAAGCTCTAAATATTTTATGGGAAGAGTTAAGCTCGATATAGTAGATTTAGAAGTCGCAAGAGGTTGAAACTTGTATAACAAGATGGAAACTTAAAGTCTTGTTTTTTGGGATATCTACTTCAGATTTTTTTGTCCACTAACTACTTCCGGTACCGCCCTATCCCGAAACTCACCCCTAAGTTTGGGACATAAGTTTACTGGAACCGAAAATAGTAAGTGGCTGAAAGTTGTGCAGTGTGTACATCCTCCTCCTTCCTCCATCTAACAAAAAGCTAAGGCATCCGAATAGGAGTCGAGTCGTTTTTACTTTTTTGAGCTTTTACATTTTTGAATTATACACGATTTATGAGCGATTCTGAGTAGAATCGAAAAAAATTCCCAGCATCTGAATTCAAAAATAAGCTTGTTTTGAGTGGTCATTAGAATGCATAATCATCCCCTTGCCGTTAAAGTGATAACTTTATCTACCCTGATGGTTAAAGAGCGACTTAGCCTAATCATCAATGTCAATTTAGCATATGCTATAAAATTAAAATTAAAAATATCGAACATGACCCCCTTCCTGAAGCCGTATAGGTTGCTGATTTGGGAGATATGGGCTTACGGATTTTTTTTCGATAGGGGAAGAGAGCGTGTACTGTAAAAGTTTCCACCACGCACTACGTTTGTGGAAGTTTGGGTTCTTATCTCCCTCTAAGATCTGAAATTCAAGATCGAATGTTCTGGTTCGATGGAACGCACATGACTTCACTTGATTGGATATTCAATAAAAACAAAGGTGATCAAATTCCATTTTTCTGTATACAAAATATTGGTTTGGCTCATAAAAAGAAATATATAAAAAAATGCACTGCCTATTACGTAATCGCGTGCCCCTGCTAAATTTGATTCCTATCTAGAGACGACATAACAAATTATTGATACAGGTACATTGATACTGAAATGTACATGAAATTCACACTGAAACAAAATACCCAAAATCCTTTGCTTGGATTTGATTTTTATGAATGAATGATAATATAAAATATTTGTCTATAAATGGCTCTCATAGGTTGATTTCTTCAGGAATATCAAAGTTACTTTCTTCAAAAATAGCTCGCAGTAATTAAAATCGGGTGTCACCAATTCGAAAATATTCTCTTGCGGAAATTTTTTGTCGCCAGTTTATTCACAAAGCGTTTCTTAATGGCGCGTTCTTCAATACGCGATTGACGCCATTGTTTAGAATTTTCCGAGGAATTTTCCACCCAAAATAAAAAGTGGTAACACTTTATAGCGATTTGTTCACATTTTTTCCATCAACAAAAATGGCTGTCAAAGAATATCGCAAGTATGCGAAATACTAAAATTCTCAGACACGTGCGTACTATTAAAGTTCAACCTTTTCTGTTGTCTAAAATCCCCGCACCCAGGCGTTGTTATCAGCCTTTTGTTTCCAGACGTAATTTTGTTTCTGATCGCCATAAAGCGGTACATGTGTATGCTTACCAAAATATTCTTCTATATACTTCTATTTCAGTTAATTGTTTTTTTTTTCTTTTGCAAACATCGACAGTTTTCTGACAAACCCATTTTTTACCCAATTTTCAAAGTTGAATGCTAAATGAACAAGAATTTATAATTTGGACCCAACAGTTTAATTATTTAAAAACAACTTGGACATTTTTGTTTCTTTTTTTTAAATTGTGGTTATTTTTATATTCGTGTTTCCCTTTGCAATATTATCTGTGCAAACCACCCTTAGTTTTATACATGGGTCAAGTGGTAGAACAGATTCGCATTAGGATCTGAACTTCGCCCTTTGCACCTCATCATGCCATTATTTATTTATTTATTTATGTTTTCTAGTAAGTGCAATAAACTCATATTATGATTATTATTATTATTTTTTGGAATATCGAAGCATTTGGAGGGATAAAAGGAGAATAAGACTGTGTCCTTCAAAAATCTTAATGCCACTTCCGGGTCGGGCACATTGCTCAATTGTTTTTCTCCGGAACCGGAAGTGGCAGATGGTTAACATTTTTTTAGATATACGTTTTCGTCCGTCGTAAGTCTATATCTAATTTGAATTGAAAAGTAATTAAATTATCCTAACAATTAACAATATCTCCAAAATTGAAATTGATAATACTTGCAGGAACAATAAATAAGATTCAAGGTATAATAATTTCTACATACTCCACTGGAACAACTTGACGTCACTGTCTATTTCAAAATTGCGGGTTTATGTAATTTCCTAATGTTGTGCAATCTTATGTAAATCAAATCCAAATTCCACGTAGATCTTTTACAAATAATATCGATGTAGATCGTAATATTCGTATTGTTCATGTAGAAAAACGGGAGGAACAGGAAGAAAAAAGGAAGGAAAATCGATCAATATTAATGAAATTCTTAAAAATACTTTGCGTGATCTCTAGTGGCAGAATAATGAACTACAACGTGAACTCTATACTACAACGAATTTACAGGAAAAAAAAATCCCAGTGACGTAAGGAGTATCTAAAATGAATATTTAAATGGGGGAAATGTTAAGCTGAATGTAGAAAAAAACCTCCCACTCTTCTCATATCCGCCAAAGAAACTGCATTCGATTTCTCAAATCCCAGAAATGTTAAACAAATCCGATGTGACCGTCTTCCCGGTACCATAGAGTCTGTTTTTTAAGACTTCAACTTTTAACACTTTGGCGTTTATAGCCTAAGCTTTTTAATTTGAAATTTAAAAGTTGGTACTCGATTCTTCGAGTCCTGAACTTTCAAATTCCACGTTTGAAACTTTTATCTGCCTGGATCTCGGAATTAAAACTGCGTTTCAACGGATCTGAATTTTTCAAATCAGTAGAAAATTAACAGGTCTTTAGCTTTAAGTTGATGAGTTTTAAGTTCAGAGTTCAGCGTCAGTTTTTAATCCCGTTCCCTTTGCCGTCTGATTTTTTAGTCTTTATTTGCCATTTTATTAGTATTTCCTTGACTAACCTGCTTAGCTATAAAATAATTTTCAATGCTTCGAGAACACGAAAAACCTCAGACTAATTTCATTTTCTCTAAGTCAATTATCGATGTACTCTATTACTTTTACGGACAAAGTAACGTTATTATCATTTCGTAGATGAATTTTACGGCCTCAAAAGAGGCGACATTAAAGCGAGTGCAAAAATTGTGTAGCTTCGAATTTTAATTAAAGCTGATGTGTATGTCGCATTCGTGTTTTTTTGGTGCGATTTTGAGGTCTGCAGAGGTAAACTTTTCCTTTACGTAGATATAAAGTAGAAAAATTAGTTGGTCGTGCCAATGATAACATCATATAATTTTTGTTAGAAAAGTAATCACCTAAATTGTTAGTAGAGAATGCATTTCAATGACCCCCTTCGCAATTCAAAGAAATGAACGTTACCAATAAGCACGAATTAAAAATTTCAGTGGATAGGAAACTTTGGGTCAAGTTCACGGGGATTATTTAATATTCTTTAATAGCCAATGGTTAGTAGTCAACTTTTCTGGGGTAATTTCGTTACTGAAACCAGTAACACCTCGAATTCCATATCTTCACCGATTAGATGCTTCTTAACGGATTCAAAACTTTAAAAGTCCATGTTTGGAGCATGCTTTCAATTTCCAGATTCGGCTTTGCCTATATATGATTGAAAAATAATAATGAAAAATGGTATCCAAATTCGAAACAGCCCAGTCCAGGAATATAAAAACGACCCCTCGTAAGTGTTTAGCATAATCTGAAACCTTAGAACTCGAATGAAAGATATTCACAAACAATTTAAAGACAGTCCTCCATTTTCCCGAACTTCAAATTTAAATAAGGGCCTACACTTCCTGAATTTAATTTTAAAAACTTGCAACCCCCTGTTTCATCTAATTCCTTTCGCGGGTCCTAACTATTGCATTCATCAGGAACCAGGAACTTGTCATCCTGTCAATTTTCGTTAATACTTTGTTAATTATTTTAGATAACAATAGCCCGAGTAAGCTTATTCCTCTCCCTTTCGTTTCATCTTGTAGATTTTTTTTTAATTTCCGACCACCTTCCCATAACGCTTTTTCTTACACACCTTTCACTTCTCGTTTGAATTCATTATCGTTAATCAACATGTAAGCACATTCCAGTTCCAAATGGAGAATTTAAAAAAACTGCATTAAGATAGTATTACTTCCCGTTATTTCCGGCACATTGGATCGGAGATTTCCGAAAGTCTTAAAATAGCCAACCATAGATAACCCTTTTAGTGTAATTATTTAAAAAACAGAAATATTTGATGCGCCTTTAAAAATGACAACCCTTACACTGGACAACTGCCAAGAAAGATTGCATTTTTAACTAAAAAAATTCATAATTTACAAACGACTAGGGGTTGCATTTTTATAAATACTTATATAGGGTTGTTGTTAACCCTTTTAGTGTAATTATTTAAAAAAACAGAAATATTTGATGCGCCTTTAAAAATGACAACCCTTACACTGGACAACTGCCAAGAAAGATTGCAATTTTTAACCAAAAAAATTCATAATTTACAAACGACTAGGGGTTGCATTTTTATAAACACTTATATAGGGTTGTTGTTAACCCTTTTAGTGTAATTA